ATATATATATAAATAGAACAGGAACATTCGTTTTGGAAAATTATTTCAAATACTCTTATTCTTTATTTTTTCCTTTTGCTTTGCTTTGCAGCCTCTTTCTGTTGTTTTTCTGCAAGAAGTTTGGCCTTTAAGTCCAAGATCTTCTGGCTTGTGAGAATCCTGTGGGAAGGAAGGCTTTTCTTGCTGGCTTTCTTGGGGGGAGTTGGGGGTGTACTGAATATATGCCCTGGATGGCGACGTGTGGCAAGGTTGTAACTTGAGAGATGACAACTTGAGGCAAGGTTGAAACTTGGGAGATGGCAACTTGAGGCAAGGTTGAAACTTGAGAGATGGCAACTTGAGGCAAGTTGAAACTTGGGAGATGGCAACTTGAGGCAAGGTTGAAACTTGAGAGATGGCAACTTGAGGCAAGACTTGAGACAAGGTTGAAACTTGGGAGATGGTGACTTGAAGCAAGGTTGAGGCTTGAGAGATGGCTACTTGAGGCAAGACATGAGGCTCCAGTGGGAAAAACATTTCGTTCGTCATCCTCCATGAGACGGTCCTCAGAAGCACAGTCTCGCGCTGGCTCCTCCTCCATAACCACAATGTCGCTGAATTGAAGGCATTGAAACTCTGGTGGAAGTTCAATCTCAACCGTTTCCCCAGCTGGTACCTCTACTACACAAGACAGTGGCTGTTCTGTCCCTTAAGAGGCGTCAGTGGCTTGGGGTCACAGCACCTCTATCAACAGAGTAGATAGGTACCTGTTACCTGAAAGAAGACAGCAAACAACAGGGTCCTACCATTAGCCTAAATTTGTAAGCATTATTGTTCTTAAGAAGAATGGTCCTTTGATGCTGAGGATGTTCTTGGTGATTGGTAAGGAAGACACGTTAAGCTTCATCACCTGACCTTGTCCTCAGTCATGGCAGCCTCCCATGCCTGTCGGAAGAGCTTTGGCCACATTATCTTGTTCACAGTGTTTCCTGGGTTGTCAGCCATGAACTCAGTGCAGGCCCTGCAAAATGTTTTTGAGTTTGTTTGAACGAATTACTTAAATGTCATTTGATCAATAAAAACAAAAAGACTCCTGCAGCAGAAATTGGGACCAACTTCATGGCTGCCTTGTGTTTAAGGTCTCCCCCTCGGAAGCAAGAGCTTGTAATCTTGATGCTCAGCTGTGTCTGACCTAAGTCTTAGACAATGTTAATTTAACAGTTGTTTTCTCGGGTGCTTGGCATTATGGGAACAATGCTACGACTGGTTGACCCCGTGTCAGTGTACTGTGATGTCTAATTTGGCCGATTAACACCACTTCTGTTGAAAGAAATTTAGATATTTTAATCCCCTCCCCAAATCTCACACACACATACACACTT